CCTGAGGGAAGTCACTCAGGAGAACATTCCGCCTGAAGGTGCGTCATCAAATAAACAGTGGTGAGAAACCTTAAGTGTGTTCTGAGTGTGGGAGGCCTTCAGTGATAAGTCAGTTCTCAGTACCCACCACGGAATTCACACTTCTAAAGCTCATCTCAAAGAGTGTAAGTGAATTCAGACAGGTAATGAGCCACATGTCTGCACCGAATGTGGGAAAGGTTCAGTGGCAGGTCTCTCTACCATAGACACGGTAGAATCCATGCTAGGGAGAAACTGTCTGTCAAAAATGTGTGTTGTAGGAATTTAGCAGAGTAGACATTAGAGTGAACACCTGTCTTCTAGAAGTATTTTGACCTTGAAGAACCATTGTGATAATCAGTAAGAATCCTTGGGAAGAACAGAGCTTGTTTTCAGTGATTTGTAGAAATCTTTTGCTGAAGGGGCATTGCAGCCATCCCATGATTTTGGTCACAAGACACCTCAGGCACACCTGAGGCTCTTGGATTATTGTGTATTGCAAACAATACATAATAAAGGACTGAAGTAATGGAGGCAAGTGATTCTCTCCTTTAGGTGGACATGTAAATTAGATAAGGGACCCTTGTATGAGGGAATACTTTGTGTAACGATCAATAAATACACCCTAGTGTGGCTATTCAGGGTTCAGTCCATCAGCAAGTTTGGACCTTCCTGCTGCCCCATAGACCTTAGAATTTCATCTTGGCATGTCTTCTGTCTTCAGCTGACCTGCACTATACAGAACACCTTGATATTTGGTGATCAGAAACATGGGTACAAGGAAAGAAGGGTCTGGACACCCCAAGACGGGAGGTAAGGCACACTCATAGTAGTAGGGGAGGCTCCAGGATAGGGCTGGAACATGGGGGATTTAAATTCCCTATCTCAGGATTGGAGCAGCAACAAACAAAATGGCTCATGGAACAAAGAATCAGCCGAGGAAAAAGGCTTTTCTCAGTAGAGAAGAGGGAAGGAAAAGAAATTTCTTGACAAAAGGAGAAATGTTTATCAAGACAAAAGGATTTTCCTGGTTAAAAAAAAAAGGAGTCGGGGGATGATGAATCAAGGCCTAAAATTTAAAAGGCTCCATAAATGAAAAATAAAGGTTAAAAAAATCTCTTTGGCTGCACTCTGCCTGTCAGCTCTTTCAGGGACTGGCCTGCAGCAGAGTGCACACATGTGAACTGCCAAGCATGACAGGCAGGGCCTCTATGCTGCAGCCTGAGCAAGCGCAGCCGGCCCAGACCTTTGATTGCCTTGTTGTTTGTCTGCTTAATTTTGATAAAAATGTTTAGCCCTCAGAGTGGGAGTAACTCAACATTAAAGGTTCCTTTGTGGGAAAAGTTTTTTTTTTGTTTTCCCTAATAATGGGAATAACTCATCAATGGTCCCTTCAAGCCGGGCGTTGGTGGCGCACACCTTTAATACCAGCACTTGGGAGGCAGAGACAGGCAGATCTCTGTGAGTTCAAGGCCAACTTGGTCTGCAGAGCAAGTTCCAGGACAGGCTCCAAAGCCACTCACAGCTGAAGCTGCTCAGGTTGGTTCATACACCCTCGTGAGGCTCTCTTGGGCTGGAGAACTGGCCCAGCAAGGGGAGTCCTTCTCTCACCTCCTACCTGTATTTTTAGGAGCACAAAAGAAAGCAAGAATCAGTGGTGATATTTTGGTAGAGAAATGAATATATAAACAGCATTACACCAAGAAATGACACCAGAACCACTCCTTTCCATTGCAAACATCTCAATTTTGTCCACGGGACTCCTTCCTTCCTCCCTTCCTTCCTCCTGCACCCAGCCTGGTCTGACTGGCTTATGAAAACATCGGAGAGGTGAGGACACTGTGAAAAGCAGCTCTATGCCATGCTACCTTTGTGAAACTGGTAGTTGTCTTCAGGTGTCTGGCCTCTTGCCTTTCAGCCTAATCTCCAACCGTTCTGGTAATGCTAGACATGAGCTGATCATTTTCCTTAGTGAGCAACTTGATTTGAGTTCTTGTCCATGAAGTGGGGATCATGACTGCCAGCTTTGCTGAGGTGTATGTTAGGACGTCCAATATGCATGGTGTTAGCATCCAGGCACACCTGGCCCACCCCGTGATACCTGACAAACTGCTTCACCCCTACGGGCCTTCCAGTACTCAGGTAGTACTCTGAACTGCTCAGGGTCCTGGCAATGTCTTCAGCTAAGCCGATACAGCGATACCCTCTTTAAAAGGGCAGAACCCCTGTTGCTTCTTCCTCTTCCTCCTCCCCCCTCCCCCAGGAGGCCGCTCGGTGTTCTCTTTCTCTCTCCCTTCTCTCCCTCCCCCCATAAACTCTTCACATGAGCTCTGTCTAAATGGCTGTCTGTCTCTGTGGTTTGAGCCTAATCCAACAAGGTCTCTCTCATGCAGAATCATAACACATAGGATGTCTAGCATGCATAGGACATCCAGAATCCTTTCCCTGGGGAGGTGTAAACAATGTCTACCCCATTCTTATAGGGTCCCAACAGCAAACAAAGCACAGTTCCACCAGTGTTCAACCAGAACCAATGAGTTTATTGGGCATAAGCATGAGCAAGGGGCTACAGGAGCACTGGGACCTAAAGCAGTCATTTTGGAGTGTTCACCCAGCATGAGTGATTGGTCCCCTTTATTCAATAGAGTTGTCTCTTCAGTTAACCCCTTCCCTATAAGCACTAGGGGACAAATACCCCTCACCCCACTCCCATCCATATGCAAGTAAGAACAAATCGAATACAAATGACTGGGTGTGGGTGCCTGGAAGCCACAGCTACATTTACATACACATACCTCAGGGTCCCATTCCTTCTAGCAATCCTGACACTGCTTTGGCTTGGACAGACTTAGGTCCAAGGACTAAGGAGCTGCCCATTGGCCCTAGCTCACACTCCTGTAGTCTGTTCTCAGAGGGTAGACCATCTGTGGAGTTGGGCATTGTGGCACATGCCTATAATTCCAACACTTGGGGCACAGGGACAGAAGATCCAACTAAATAGTCCAGGTCAGTCAGTGCTGGGGTTGAGGGGATACTAGCCTCATGAACATGTGACTCTGGCAGGCCTTGTCCTTCTCTCATTCCCTCTGACTTGCTTAAAACCATTAGATTACATTCCTAAAGTTAGCCACCAAAGACTATTCCCTAGTTGACCAGCCCCTCCTCCCAAGACTTACTACCAAGGTCCAGCTATCAAAGTATTGAAGTCCAGGGATTAGAAGTCCCCATTGGCTTACCTAATTAACATGCCCATTTAAAATTAAACACCTCATTCTAACACGGGATTTCCCCCTTCACCTTTATAAACTGCCATTTGCCTATGGGCCATGACTGTCTCCTCTCTATCCAAAGACAGTCTCCCCCCACCTCCACCAGACAAGTACTCCTGCTCCCTTCCCTTTGTTCCCTTCCCTTTCTCCCTGATCCCCTATCTCCTCTACCACAGAATCCTAGCCTATTCTAACACAGACTTCTCTTCTCTCTCAACCCTTAAAATTACACCTTCAAGGTCATGTGTGTAGGCATTTCTGGCCGATCAGGTAGGACAGGTATTCTGGCACTCGGGAGTCAAAGAATACTGAGTGTTACACAGCTCAGATGGAAAGGTATCCTGGAGCTCGGGAGCCAAGGACTACTACAGGCCCAGTAAGCGTAGCGTTTTTCAGCCCTGCCTCAGGGAAAGGCTTCGCAGTGTATCAGCTCTGCAGGAGAAGGTTTTTACCCAAAGCTCATCGAAGGGGTTTATTGGGAGGGAAGAATCCAGGAGCATGACTGCCCTCTGCCACAGTGGGAGAGGACAACTGGGCAGCAGGAACAGCCACAAGATTAACAGTCACGGGTTTATATAGGGCTTCCAGGGTGGGGATTGGTCAGATTTTAATGCTGAGCTCAGACTGGCTAGAGCTCTGCTCAAGGATTGGTTAGTTTTCTGCACAGGGTTAGGGTCAGATTTGGCTCTGGTTTCAGGGCCAAAGTGTGTTTCTTTCTCTGGTCCTTTTTAGCCTTTTGGCTCTAATTTTAGGGCCAGGGTGCATTTCTTTCACTGACTCTGATTCCAGGGACAAAGTGTGTTTCTTTGGCACTGGTTTCAGGGTCAGGGTACATTTCTTTAGTTCTGGTTGCAGGGCCAAAGTGTGTTTCTTTGGCTCTGCTCAGGGTGTGTTTGACTGGCCCCTCTTCCCTACAATGTGCTGCTGTTTTTCTGCCAGAGTCAGAAAGAAACCACTTTAGCTTTTCTTCCTTGCTTAATAAAGGATTTCTGGTTTGTGCCTAATCCAGGGTCTGGGAGAAAGCCCTTGATGTGTGGGGACCTTCAAGAATGGGTTAGCCCTGGAGAGACTTCCAGCATATCATTCTGTCGTGACTGGTCTCTCCGCTTTTTTCTCCTCACCAGCCTCTCCTGCGTTGTTTCTATTATGCAGTTTTTGTTTGTTTTAAATTCTACTTCTAAGTGAGGGTAGATGTTTCCCTTAGGGAACCATGTCTTGTTCCCAGGATGGTGTACAAGAAGGTTCATTTCAGGCCTCAATGCTTCCCATGGCTTCACTTCCCCTTTGCCAACAACTTTTCTTAGTTTTTAAATTTTAGAAAATCAGAAGAAAAAAAGAAGGTATTAAGTCCGTGTGCAAATATGGAGAAATTCTAGGAATATGAAATATCACTGTCTCTCAGTTACACGTACGCCCACATAGAAAATAAATCCCCTGTCGTGAGACAGCTTCAGACTTATAGTCTGTGACATTCCACATGACTCATGGGTGTACGGAAATGAGAATTCTGACGGTGAGTTCCCCATAATGGAACATGGACGTGGCCGTGACAATGCCTCGGGGAGGAAAACGGAATCAGAATGTACACCATTATAACTATTGGCAAAGCATAAGGTCCCAAGTGGTGATGGGCATGCGCACTACTACTTCTGTAACTGCAAGCAGTAGTGGCCATGCGCAATACCGACTTCCGCCGGGAATGGGCGAAAGGCTGAGGTGTGGCCAGAAGTACCCATTTCCGCTTAGATCTTCACGTGGTTAGCTGTTGTTATCGTTACCAGGACGCCGTGAGAGTTTGGGTTCTGAACTTGGGGAATTCTGCGCGTCCGTGGGCGGAAGTCGCGTCCGGGCGAGCTGTGCGCAGCGCTCTCTGCGGTGCAGGGCGAGGTGAGCGGCGGCGGCGCGGGGCGGACGCTGTGCTGCCGAGCGCTGGCTTGTGCCGAGCGACCGCTGAGGCGGCTGCAGAGAGGTGCGGTGGGTGAGCTGGGCTGGCCCTGTGCGAGCTGGGAGAGCAAGGCTGCTGAGGGAGGCGATGGAGCCTGCTGTTGTGAGCCTGGGCTGGTGTCTGTGAGGGCGACCGCGCCGCCTTCCGGACTGGGAATGTTTGCGTAGCCCGTGCCTGGCTTGAGTCCGCCTGCCAGAGGAGAAGCAGTAGATGAAAATGGAAAATGAGTTTATGCACGGTTTTGACTTACTCCGGGGCCGCAGCATCCTCGGTCTGCCCAAGCCTAAGCAGTGTCAGAATTGCTAGGAGGAATGGGACTGTGCGAGCTCGTAGCTTTGGGGTGCCGGGGAAGCGGGGCTTCGGGCCATTTCCCCAATCGCGTTGTATTTCCCACAGGCAGCTGGTGCTGAGAAAGAAAAAAATTAAAATTTACTAATTCCCGTGGCCAGTTTTGAGTATTGGGGTCCTTGAAGGTGTGTGGGTGGGTCCGTGCTGGCCTGTCTTTGGGATCCTTATGAACTGGCAAGCTTCTGTGATCCGCAGTTGAGCAGCATGGTGCTGTAGACAGGTGTTTGGCCTCCTGCAGCCCCAACAGGTAGAAAAGACCAGTTAGTCTTGGTGAAAAGCGGAAAGAGGAGGGGTGTTTCTTCAAATTAGAAGAGAACCCAGTGACCCACCTGTGTCATTGGTTTGGGATTGCTGGTCAAGGGGTTTGTATAATAAACGTTATCTGGCGGGGTGTGGTGGCTCCCTTACGAGGTGGTACCCACCGTTTACAGGAGTCCCGGCGGGATCTCTGAAAGCGGAGGCTGCTTAGCATAGTAAGCATCCTCCCCTTGGTTTTTGCACGTGTACATAGATGTTTAGGAAGTCCGGGTCATGGTGTGTATGTGTTCTGCCTATCTTCTTGTTAGCCCAGTCCTGCAGAGTGTCCCTTACCTTGTTAATCTGTTCCTTGTCCTAGGCCCAAGGGGACCAATCTGTTTCCTCCATGGTGTTTATTTCTGCTGTACAATGAAGCCTCGCCCTCAAGCCTAATTGTGCTCCTCTGGGTGTTCTCGGGAGGCTTTAGTTTCTGGAATTAACGATGACTGAATTTAGGACAATGGCTTGTCTTTGGGCCTTGAAGGGGATGTGTTAATTCCGCCAGGCAAGAATAAGACCACTCTTACAATTTCGGCCAAATTTGAAGCAAGCTTGATTTATATTGGGGTGCTCCCAAGAGCTGACCAATGACTGACTCCAAAGTCAGGTTGAAGAGAGCAATCCTGAGTCCATTTCTTAGGGCCCCTTTAAGGGGTAAAATTGTGAGTAGTTGCACAGCAGATTTATTTCATTTGTCTGGCTGGTTGTTATTTGTTTGTTTCTTTTTCAAGACAGGGTTTTTCTGTGTAGCCCTGGCTATCCTAGAACTCGCTCTGTAGACCAGGCTGGCCTCAAACTCTCAGAGATCTGACTTCTTCTGCTTCCGGTGTCCTGGGATTAAAGGCATACACTGCCACAGCCCGATTTGCAAAGCAGATTCACCTAAGACAATGGAGCAGTAACAAAGTACAGAAAAATCTCAAAGAAGCAATGGCCAATAGCCGTCATGTGATCAAGGAGGGGTACGGGGCTGAGTGTTCCCCATAACAAGTCAAGTTCATGAGTTGGGGCAGGTCAGGTTCCGGGGAAACAGAGTCAGAAACTTATTTTTAACAGTACAACAGACGGGGTCAGGCAGGTTCCCCAGGTGGTGGGAGTTGGGTAGAGACAGCCAAGCAAAAGTAAGCCAGAGTGAAGGTATATTTAAGTAGACCCTGCTGGCCTTAAACTTGGCAGCGATTCTCCTGCTTCTGCCTCCTGAGTGCTGGGTTACAGGAGTGTATCATGTAAATTGAAGGTCCCAGAAAATTAAAAAAGAAGTTTCTTTTCCCTCATTGGCTAAGAAATCAGGAAGACACCGTTGTGTGAGATCTTACCCCTCCTGCTGCCACTTTCTCTTCTGTTTCTCAAAAAGGACCCCCTGTGGTTTCATCCCTGCGTTTCACTTCCTGTTTATTTTAAAGCTATCAGATATGTGACCTTGTCATAAGTGCTGGTTGCTGTTAGGCGAACTTGGCTTAAGTAATTTTCTACTCTGAATATTTAAAGTTGTTTCTGGAGGTGGGGTAGGTAGCAGACACTAGCAGGAGTCTAATGTTTTCTGTCCACCTTGGAGCTAAGCTGGTTCAGGGTGCTTTGATTTTGAAGATGAACCATTAGAGTTACTTTCTTAGGAGGTGTCTTTAGGAATGTGTCCTTTGGCCCTTAAGTAAGCGAAACTTGGGTGCTGTCTTTGCCTGGGTACCTTTTGAGAACATGTTGGTCAGCTGGGCGGTGGCGGCGCACACCTTTAATCCCAGCACTCAGGAGGCAGAGGCAGGCAGATGGACAGCCAGGTAACACAGACTGTAGGGAGGGAGGGAGGGAGGGAGGGAGGGAGGGAGGGAGGGAGGGAGAGAGAGAGAGAGAGAGAGAGAGAGAGAGAGAGAGAGAGAGAGAGAGAGAGAGAGAGAGAGAGAGAAAGAGTTGGACTTTTCTTAGCCTTATCCACTACTCTGCAGTGTCTATATGATGCCTGTCAGGTAGGGCTAAAACTTCATATGCAAATGTTGGACTTGTGCCCCACAGTCAATGACTTTTCAGGACTTTCTGTATCTTTGTAGATTCCTGGGTCGCGCCAAGTCATTCATAGCACAACCAAGCTGAGTTCTGCTAGTCAGCTCTACTCAGAGGCTCCACATGCTCACTCGTATCCTGCGGAAGTCCAAGACCTTGAGTAGACACCACAGAGGACATGTCTACTGATGTGAATTTCTGCCAGAAGCCCCAGAGACTGGAAGCAGAGGAGCAGGATGGGGCATGTGCGGTGAGGTTCTGTTCTCCACAACTAGAGTGTAGACATTGGAAGTACCAGATTGTAAGCTCTGTTTCTGAGGCAACCTCAATTCTCAGGCTAAGAGGACATTTCCTCATCTTGTCATGACATGCTCATTGTGCTACTTCTTGGGTTTGGGTTTGTCTGCTCCTCTGTGACTTTCTGGGGAGTTCTGTTTCTATTCAGCCCAGATAGAGGGGACTGGCAGGACAGAGAACATCCAAGTCCAGCTTGGTGATACAGAGATTTTTTTTGGTTTAATTATGGGATCACAGATGAGGAGTGGCCTCCAGAGGCATGAGCAATTTGAGCAGTTGTGTTATTGGCCTCCAGCATCGATGATGGTTTGTGAGACCTGTATCTCCAAATCATCCCCCGCCCAGTTGTGTCTAGCTGATGAGTTTTTATTACTTCTGGACCTGTGCGTTTTCCTACCTCCACACTCTCATTCTCTCTTGGGAAAGTGGTGATCTATCCTACTTGAAGCATCTCCTTTACAGTTTAAGCTGCTATGCTCTACAGAGCATAACAGCTACTCCTTACTTTGTCCCCCCCAACATTTTCTCCGTGTATAATTGTAAAATGCTCCCTTGTAGCCCATGCTGAGTCTTCACGTTTGCTGTTTTACCAGTCTGGGTTTTTTTCTAAGAGTAGAAGTTCATACTGTAGCATTGAACTCCAGGAACCCCACACAATTCTAGACAGGTATAATATGGCTTAATAGCTGTCTTCCTGCTTAAATTTGGTGGAGAAATTCTGTCCTCAATGGGGGTGGGTGAGACATAGTATACAATACATGACAGGGTTTTTTTTTTTTTTTTTTTTTTTTTTTGGTTTTTCGAGACAGGGTTTCTCTGTGGCTTTGGAGCCTGTCCTGGAACTCAGTTGGTAGTCCAGGCTGGTCTCGAACTCACAGAGATCTACCTGCCTCTGCCTCCCGAGTGCTGGGATTAAAGGCGTGCGCCACCAACGCCCGGCGACAGGGTATTTAAACTGTCTTTCACAATATATGTTGATTTCACATTTTATGCCTGAACATAAAATGTGAAATCAATATTTTTGTGGAAAGTTTAATGGTACTTACTGGGGGGGAATCACTAAAAACATATGGTTACTCATTTTGTTTTTCTGTTGTTACAGAGATTGGTATCCTTTGAGGATGTGACTATGAACTTCAGCCAGGAAGAGTGGCAGTACCTGAACCCTGCCCAGAGACGCCTGTACCAGGACGTGATGCTGGAGGTCTACAGTCACCTCTTGGCAGTGGGTGAGCACAGCTGGCCTGGGGATCCAGGATGGGTCTTATATTTTTCTCTTAGCAAAACTTGGTGGAATATCAGAAATCTGTCATGATTTCTTAGTTGTTTTGTGCCTTCTTCACTCCATTGGGCACCTCTTATGTGTTACTTAATGTTGACTTTTGCAGTTAGCCAGTACAAAGTTTATTGGGTACCCTTTAAAGCCTAAGAAGATGCAACAAATTCAGTATCCTTGCAATTCACAGGGTATCCCAGGCCAAGGGCCAACTTCAAGATGAAGAAAGTTGATTTCTCACACCAGAGGTGTCTTTGTCAAGGTGAGTGACTATTACCAGGTGAGGTAGGTAGTTGAGAGGTATAATCAGCCTACTGACTGACTCATCCTCTCTGTAATGGGCACCTAGATTGCCCCTTACTCCCAGTTTTCCTAGTAAACACTGTACGACATTTTATTATGAGCCTGTAATAGGGACAGAAAGATGGTTACTGGATATTTGCTTAAGTTTCCTTCTAATGATCTGTACAAATTCTCAGTTCATGTTTGGAAATCATGAAACAAGAAGTCACACATGGATTTGTGTTTGTGTTTGTGCATCTTAGTTGTCAAGAATTGACATTATAGATGCGGTTAATATATTGCTTGTGTAATGAGTAAAAGAAATGTTTCCTAGCCAGGTGTTGGTGGTGGTGCACACCTTTAATCCCAGCACTCGGGAGGCAGAGGTAGGTGGACCTCTATGAGTTCGAAGCCAGCCTGGTCTATAGAGCAGTTCCAGGACAGGCTCCAAAGCCACAGAGAAACCCTGCCTTGGACCAAAAAAAAGTTTCCTTGTTTTTGTATTCTAGAGAGAGTGTGTGTGTGTGTGTGTATTAGAAGAGGCCCAAAGAGTGTTAGAGTTATAGATGGTTATGGGCACCCATGAGGGTGCTGGGAACTGAACTCAGGACCTCTGGAGGAGCAGCAGGCACTCTTAACCACTGAGCCATCTCTCCAGGTCCTTTTTTTTTTTTTTTTTTTTTTTTTGGTTTTTCGAGACAGGGTTTCTCTGTGGCTTTGGAGGCTGTCCTGGAACTCGCTCTGTAGACCAGGCTGGCCTCGAACTCACAGAGATCCACCTGCCTCTGCCTCCCGAGTGCTGGGATTAAAGGCGTGAGCCACCAACGCCCGGCCCTCTCCAGGCCCTTTTGTAATGTCTTTTTATAATTATTTAGAGCATCTTGTCTTATCTGTTATGTAAATACATTTTCTATGTTTATTTTTTTTGTATGTTTTATCTTTCTTTGGTCTTCTAATTCTTTCATCCCATTTATTTATCCCTTCATCAATGTTCTTTTTCATCCTGGATCTTTTGTGTCCCTTAATTATGGCACACCATATTCCTATTTTGTGTGTTCCCATGCAATCACTCCTTACTATGTGTGTGTGTGCACACAATATGTTTATATTTATGTTCTTAGGTGTGCACCTGTCACTCACCCCTGTGGAGCTCTGTGGACAACTTGCAGGGAGTCAGTTCTCTCCTAGAGATCAAGCTCAGATCATCAGGCTTGCTGGCACGCACCTTTACCCACCGAGCTATCTTGTGGGCCCATCATACTTTCTTATAGGAACCGCCTTTTAGAACCAGTCTATGCTGATCTCTTGGTCCTCTTGCGGCCAGTTTTGTCAAGCTGATACAGCATAGAACCACCTGGAAAAATTCTTATGAGAAACTGTCTCCTAGGTTGGCCTGTGGGCATGTCTCTGGGGAGTTCTCTTAACTGACATGGGAAGACCCAGCTCTGGGCAGCACTGTTGCCTGGAGTCAGGTCATAGACTGAAGTGAGGCAGTGGGAGGAGTAATAGTGTGCATGTGTTCAGTCTTTCTCGTCTATTCACGTGCCTGTGATGTTCCCACCAACTTCAGTTTCCCACCACCTTGGGTTTCTTGAAATGATGGAGTATAACCTAGAATAGTAAGGTAAAATATGTCTTTTTTTTCCCAAAATTGCTTTTTGTTGGGGTGTTTTATCCCAGCAACAGAATGAAACCAGGACAGGCCTCACATTTGAATTGTGGTGATGTCTATGTTAGCCTTTACAGTCTCTCTGTGTGTGGTAAACCTCCTGCCGTATCTAGCTACTTAGAGGACTAGTCCTGTGAATGGTCCCCTTCCTTATTTTTGAGACATGGGAAACTGGGGTCATCCTCATCCAACTTAGAAAGTGCTTCCATAGGAGGAATTTTAGTTTCTTGCTTTTGTCCTTGAGTTTATTACTTCACAGCTCCTGCTCTGTTTTCTAGTATACACTTTTTTTTGTTTGTTTTTCAAGACAGGGTTTGTGATTTTGGAGGCTGTCCTGGAACTAGCTCTTGTAGACCATGACATGGGAGTTGATTTTGGGGGCATGAGGAATGGTTATTCATAAAGTAATTTTGAATTGGAATAAAGAACCAGATGAAGCAAACTTAGTTGAGTTAGAGTAGTGTTTTTCAACCTTCCGAATGCTGAGACCCTTTAATACAGTTCTTCATGTTATGGTGACCCCAAACCGTAAAATTATTTATGTTGCTACCTCATAACTGTAATTTTGCTATTAAATGAATCATAATGTAAATATCTGATATGTAGGATATCTGATCTATGACCCCTGTGGAAGCGTCATTCAGGTCATGACCCACGGTGAGAACCACTGTGTTACAGGATATGACTAAGTGCTTAGGAGTAACTGACCATTTTTATGTTGAGGTTGTTGAGATATAGTGGAGAAACAAAATGTATTTTAAAGATGTGTTTATTTTTATTTTATGAGTGCTTTGCCTGCGTGTATGCCTGTGTACCATGTGTGTGGCCTGGTTCTTGCAAAGTCATAAGAGAGTGTTGACTCCTCTGGAACTGGAGTTACAGATGGATATGAATGCTGTGGGTGCTGGGAGCCAAACTTGGGTCTTCTGCAAGAGTAGCAAGTGCTCTTAAACGACTAAGCCATCTTTTCAGCTCAATATTGGCAATTTATGAATAAGCTTTTCAGAATCCCTGTGGTGCAAAGTTTATACTATCCCATATGGGTGCTGAAGGATTGGCAACGCAGCATCAAAAGGAAAAGTGATGGCAGTAGTGTGTCAAGTGGTATTTAAGAGTTTGTTCCTCCCATGCTAGGGGATGAAAACAGGAGGACAGTAGTCGTTTTCTAGATCTACCAGCCAGTCTAGCCAAAACAGCATCTTGCACGTTCAGTGAACATGTCTCAAAGAAACTGAGGTGGTTGTAGCTTGTGAGATGTCTCAGTGAGTAGCATGATTGCTGTGCGGCGGTAAGGACCTGCGTTTGGGTTCTAGCTCCCGTAGAAAAGCCTGTATGCCTGTAACTCTAGCACTGGTGGTAGGATATCGGGCCTGGTAGACAGTCCAGCTGAGATAGTGAGCTCTCAATTCAATGAGACACCCTGTCTCAAAAATAACTAAGTAAATAAATGGAGAGCAATAGAGAAAGATATCCAAAGTAGGTCTCTGGCTTCCACATGTGCATACAATAGTGAGCACACAAACACCGCACACAGTAAGTTACAGAACCATAAAAGAAAGATACTTAAAGTCTGCTTCTGCCTCCACAAGTGTGCATACAGGCTAACACACCCATATACAGTCACATAGGAAACTGCACACACAGCAGCAGAACAAAAACTGGGCAGTCTAGGCAGGTGGCTATGCAAGTATGAGGACCCAGGTTCAATTCCTAACAGTCCCATAAAAACTGGGCACAGTGGCTTACTCTTCTAATTCCAAGGCTGGGTTGGCAGAGACAAGAGGACCCCTGAGGCTTCCTAGCATCCAGTCCAGCTGAATGGAGATTTCCAGATTCACTGGTGAACCTTGTCTTGAGAAATAAGGTTGAAAGTGACTGAAGAAGACACTGAACCTTTGGCCTCCGCATGCATGAGTGAACAAATGTACAACTGTGAAACATTAAACAGATACATAAGACACAAAAATAATAATTTGGGCATGTAAAGTTCAGGAGGAAGGGCTTGCAAGCATGTGTGAAGTATGTAGCTAATCCTTACAAACAGAGGGAAAGAAAAAATGTAACAAAAAGAAAACTTTACCAGGTGAGAAAATGGTCATAGGCTTTCTCTGGAGCTAATGAAGTACTTTGCTTACATCCCTTTCTTCTGATGTAAGTAATGGCCATGTCCGTTTTCTCCCATACTTACGTATCATTCTGTATCACAGGCCTCTTGCATAAGTTAGTTGTCTTTCACCAAACCAGGTCTTCCAAATAAATTATCTAAGTCATCTTGTCTACTGACTGATGCATCTGTTTCCTCATGAGGAAAATAAGGACCCTGGGCATAGGTTCATGTGGGATGGTTGTGAGGATTAGATGAGCTCATGTATTCACTTCATAGTGTTAGGTGTTCTATGTTACGAGAGTCAGTCAAAGAAAGCGGTCACTGCAACATGAAATTTTAAGACCTGTGTGGCAGCAGGAAGGTCCAGCCTCTGACAGACTGAACTGAACCTCTAACCACCCTTAGAATCATATTGATTGATTGTTACACAAAGTTGTTGTTTTTTCCGGATAAAGTATTTCCTCAGGCCAAGGTCCCTACTCTAACCCATGTGTCCCTCTAAAGGAAAGCATCACATCCCTGGTGACTTCAGTCCTTCACTGTGTACCATTTACAGTACCCAGTAATCTAAGAGCCTCAGGTGTACCGGAGGCATCTTGTGACCAAAGTCATGCAAAGGCTGTAACGCCCCTCAGAAATACAGTTCTACAAATCATGGAAAACAATCACTGTTTTCCACAAGGTCAAAGTACTCCTAGAAAACAACTGTTCACTCTGATGTTTACCCTGGATACAGTAACTCTGGTAGAGTCGTACAACAGCATAGAAAGTCGCCTGGCACATATGGGTGCTATATTATGTAAGCGTTGGCATATTATAAGAGCCATGATAGCATTTCTCACCATTGACAGCATCACTACGTCTGACACTGATTTCTTTGTTCAGACTCTGGCTCCTCCTCCACCATGCTCACTGTGTCTGTCTCTTCATCTCTTCCTAACAGGGGAATCACAGCGTGACGCAGCACATCAAGTTTGGAAAGCTGCGTTTCCAAATGATGTGTCAAAAGAAATCACTAAATGTGATTCATACTGTTCCATTATAGAGGAACCGGGGCAAGATGGTGACCCTACAAAAGCAGATCAGCAAAACCAGGTCCCACTCCTCAACCCGAAAACACTGAGAAGTGACTATAGTTGTGAGTGTGAAGGAACTGGGAGATCCATTCCTGTAGACCGCCTCCTCATTTCTACCCAGAAGAGATTTCCAAAATGCTGCTCAGTAGAAAAAACTGTGCAGCCCAACTCTAACCCGCAAGCAAACAGTGAACACCAGAGCAGTTCCACAAAGCAACCTAATGGCACTGTTGAACGCTGCCAGCTCTTCACACAAGACCCTTCTAATGCTGTGTGCACAGTTCCTAACAGGGAAGAGAAAGCATTTAAAGGTGAAGAGTTTGAAAAAATTCTCAGCCCTAAGCAACCACTTCTGCAGCATGAAATTCTTTCTCAGGACCAGCCAGCTGAATATACCAAACACATTGCTTTGTGTCAGGAGCAAATCACCAGCGCTATAGAGACACCTTTTATTTGTCACATGTGTGGAAAATCCTTCCTTCAGAAGTCTCGGTTGAGTTCTCATCCAGGGACAAATGGAGGAGAGACGGCTGAATGCCCTGACTGTGTGGAATCACTGACAAGTCCTCCATCCAGCCTGCGGCTGCATCCCACAGTCCACACAAAGGAGAAGCCCTACAAGTGCCATGTGTGTGGGGAAGCCCTTCAGCTATGCATCTCACCTGAAGGTGCATCTTCGAGTACACACAGGGGAGAGACCTTATGCCTGTTCTGACTGTGGGAAGGCCTTCAGCCAGAAGTCAGTCCTCACCACACATCAGAGAACTCACACTGGGGAGAAGCCTTACACGTGTAGCCACTGTGGGAAAATGTTTGTTTATGCGTCAGACCTGAAGAAGCATAGTCGGTTTCACACAGGGGAGAAGCCCTATGAATGTCCTGACTGTGGGAAGTTGTTCAGCAATAAATCCCACCTGCCCGTGCATCATCGAATTCACACTGGTGAGAGACCCTACAAATGCTGTGACTGTGGGAGGTCGTTCAGAAGGAAATGTCACCTTAAGATACACAGCCGAGTACACACTGGTGAGAGACCGTACATGTGCTCGGACTGTGGGAAGACCTTCAGCCACAGTTCAGTTCTCAGCACACATCAGAGGATTCACACTGGGGAGAGGCCTTACACGTGCGGTGACTGTGGGAAAGCCATGTCGTCTAAAGCCCAACTGAATGAGCACCAAAGAACCCACACGGGGGGAGAAACCGTTTGTGTGTATCGAATGTGGGAAAGCGTTCAGTGGCAGGTCTTCTTTGCAGGTGCACCGTAGAACTCACAGCAGTGAGAAACCTTTCCTCTGTGACAGATGTGGGAAAGGCTTTCTGCGCAAGTCACAGTTGTCATCTCACCAACAAACTCACGCTGCTGAGAACCCTTAGTGCTGTATGTGTGTGCAGTTTGCCTCATACATATCAGCTGAAGGTGAACCAAGTTGAAATGGAAGAAGATGTTGCGGGTACTTGACTAGGAAAGTTTTCAACAACTGAAGGCTCGCCTGGTTCGTTCTGTGTGGAGAGACCTGAGGTGGGTTTTGAATGCAGAAAGTCCTTCAGACACAAGTCAGGTTTCAGTAGACGCAGGGACTCCTACCTCACACTGTTCTTACTTACAGATACTGTGAGCATATGGAAGGCTTTACCACAGTCAATTCCTTGTCAATATTTTTTTAACTTTCCTTTTTTGGGGGTGGGGTTTCCAAGACAGGGTTTCTCTGTGGCTTTGGAGGCTGTCCTGTAACTCACTCTGTAGACTAGGCTGGCCTCAAACTCACAGAGATCTGCCTGCCTCTGCCTCCCTAGTTCTGGGATTAAAGGCATGTTAACTTTTTAATTTTTGTAGACAGTTTTTCTTTGAGACCAACAGCTCATAAAGAATGACACAGACTTATCATTAATATGGAAACTCAGCTGATAGCTTAGTCTTGTTTCTAATAATTGGCTCTTATAACTTAAATCAACCCATTTTTATAATTTGCTTTCTGCCTTGTGGCTTTTACCTCATCTCATAATGTCTATCCTGCTAGCTCTGCCTGCCCTTCCCAGCCGCCCCTGTGCCTGGAAATCCTGTCTAGCTACTGGCCATTCAGCTGTTCATTAAACCAGTCACAGTGTAAAGGAATATTCCACAACAGTTTTGTGTCTCTCACATCATGCATCTTGATCCTGTTCATTTCCTATCCCTTTGTATCCACCCTCTGCCCTTGCAACCACCCCCTACCCCAAATAAAATAAAAAGAAAGGAAAGCCAATCTTGTCATGGAAGCTGTAGTGCGACACAGTGAGTTGTGCAGTAAACCCTTTTGTCCATGTAGTTTTACTTGAAATCGTTCATTGCAAGGAGTCCAGTGGTCAGGTTGGAGGCCTCTGGTTTCTGCTGCACTATCAATGCTGGCCCCTCACAGGGATTCTTGGATATCCTGTTGCCCTGTGTCATAGAGATCTACAACTTTGGGTCTTATCCATGTTATTAAATAAAGAGACCTAATTATAGCTATGCATTGCTTATTTTAAATATACCAATGATACCTGAGGAAAAGAATAAAGAATCTGTAAGGAGAAGTACAAATAATCCATGTTCATACATTGCTGTTTATGTGTGTGCATTCCTCTGGGCGCACTTCTTTGTGGATGTTCTTGTGTATAATGAGAAGTCTTTTCTTGAGAAGACAAATATCTATCTACTCCCATGTATTCTACTGAAGCCCAACTTAAGGAATCAGTGAGTTTATTGGGCATACTTAAAGAACATGAGGGATACTTTCAGGAGCCTTGGTGACCCCAAAGCAGCCACACTCCTTAAAAGTCTCACCCCTGCAAGCCGAGCGTTGGTGGCGCACACCTTTAATCCCAGCACTGGGAAGGCAGAGGCAGGCGGATCTCTGTGAGTTCAAGGCCATCCTGGTCTACAGAGTGAGTTCCAGGACAGCCTCCAAAATAATACGGAGAAACCCTGTCTCAAAAAACCAAAAAAAAAGTCTCACCCCTGCATATAAGACAACTTCCCCATAACTGCATGGATGACATCCCTTCAAATAAGCTACCATAATCTATACTTCAGCATCTCCCAAGATCATGAGGCTACAGACTTGAATCGACAGGGGAGTAGTTGAGATACCAGGTGAGGTATACCCCTCCATACCTCTCCTTATGAGACAACACACCCAACCTCAAGGGTCTCTTAAATGTGATCCTGTGCCGGGCGTTGGTTGCACACACCTTTAATCCCAGCACTCAAGAGGCAGAGGCAGGCAGATCTCTGTGAGTTCAAGGCCAGCCTGGTCTACCGAGCGACAGGACAGGCTTCAAAACAATACAGAGAAACCCTGTCTGGGGGAAAAAAAGTGATCCTAGTTGCTCTGATGAAGATGATGGCTGTTTTGCTAAGGTGATGTGTGTCCATGCAAGTGAGGATGTCTAGAGGCTACCTCAGTTGTCATTTCTTAGACACCTTCCCTCTTCTGATTGACAGTTCTTATTGGTCAGGTCCCTCCCCAAGTTGTCTACCCTAGGTGGCCAGTGAGCTCTAAAGACCCAAAGACCCACTTGTTTTCAACTCCCATCTTAACATTACTGGAATTACAAATGCGTCATTATTCCCAGAGCCAAACTCATGTCCTCACACTTGTGAGACATAGACTTTACTATCTGAGCCATCTCCCTGGCCCTGTGTTAGACTGTTAAAGGACTATTTTGACACAGAAAGAAATCTTGAATAATGATTTGAGATAAGTCTCTCTGTAGTTAATGGTTTAAGCATATATTTACCAAACCTTAAAGTTTGTGGGAAATGTAGCAACCATCTTGTAAGACACAAAAGTTTTTAAGTGCCAGAAAGAAAATGACACACATGTAGCTGTAATGCCTAAATATGTTTGCACATTTCATTTGTATGAGTGTATATTTAAATATGTATCTATGTTTAGATATCTTCTCCCAATTCCACACACCTTTGTCATCACCAGCATCCTTTAGGCTCTTAAGAATAGAATATGTGGCAGCAATGCCGTTATCCTTGTCCCAGCCCCAGTACTCACTGGAGAAACCAACAATCCTTAGGTGGTGAATGAGGCATCTGGCCAACAGCTCTTAAGGGAGACCTGGAAGGGCAGTTAAGAATAAGACATGGTTGGTAACAGGGAAGTGACAGACCAGGATCTCTGTGGTGCATTTTCAGGTGAGGCCAAATTGTGACAACAATAGTAGTTGAGAAGAGACAGCCAAAAGAGCCCCCTGCTTCATTTCCATGCAGAGTCCCAAAAGAGGCAAATACACAGATACGGCAGTTTCGTTGGTTGTTACAGGAGAACAGAGAGGGACAGCATCATGGGTGTGGGTGCAGGGTTTCATTCTAGGGCATAAGTATTCTAGAGTTGCATAGTGACCATTGTTACATGGTGGTGGTCACTGCTGAATTTACCACGTGAAATTTGTCTCAAATGAAAGTATGTATATATAACCACAAATTACAGAACTATAGTTTTCATATGATACAAAGATCTAAAGAGTCTGCAGGGACTGTAAAAGTAAGACAAGGAGTTTGTTCTACATGGGTAGGTAAAAATGCTGTTGAATTGACCATTGTCTAGAACTGTCAAAATTTAAAAAGATGTGATCCGGCTACATTTTGGATAGTTGATGTCAATGACACACTTGTGGACATAGGTCCAAGACACATTTCTTTTTTTTTTTTTGGTTTTTCGAGACAGGGTTTCTCTATGGCTTTGGAGGCTGTCCTGGAACTAGCTCTTGTAGACCAGGCTGGCCTCGAACTCACAGAGATCCGCCTGCCTCTGCCTCCTGAGTGCTGGGATTAAAGGCGTGCGCCACCAACGCCCAGCCCAAGACACATTTCTTTTGACAGAATGAAATCAGTTGTCCACAGAATTTGGGTCTCCTGTGTAATTCTGTCCTGGAGGGAGGCTTACTGGTTACAGAGAACTTGAGTTTGGTTCCCAGAACTCGGTATCAGGTGCCTGCAAGTCAAGTTGAGAAGGACCCATATCTGGCTTCTGTGGGCGTCTGCACTCATGTGCATACCCACACCAGTGCATACGATTCAAAGTAATAAAAATGTAAAAGATGCCAGAAACAAGCAACTTACAAGTCTCAGGAAGGTACCAAAATTTAAGATTCATAAAAGCCTCTTAAGGTTATAAAGTAGTAATTACTGCTGGGCAGGAGAGAGTCTCTGATCGCAAAGCTGCCTGCAAGTTGTACAAGGAGCTCCAGGGATGCAGTCATCACCCGTGCTCGATGGACTTCTGTTGATCATTCAAAAGAACCTCTCATTCATGCTCCAATAAGCCCATTAACTCATTGGTTCACTGATTGGACTTTTGTGAAATCACTACTTTGGCCCGTTGTCAGTGCCTTATCTAGGATAAATAGACATTGTTCACATCTCAGGAAGTCAAAACAGCCCAGCATTTCACTGGAGATCAGTGCCATGACTTGTTTATGTTGGATAAGTGCTTATCTGCATGTATGTATGTATGCACAAAGGCCAGAAGAGGGCATCAGATCTGAACCTGGAATTACAGTTGAGAGCCACCATGTGGATAATAGGAACCAAACTTGGGTTCTCTGCAAGAGCGTCAAGTTTCCCTAATCACCCAAAATTTTAAAATGGGTTCTTTTCTTCATTTTTGTTGTTTGTATATTCTATATCCATTGATCCACCTGTCTGTTTCCATGCCAACCAATACCATGCTGCTTTTATTACAGTATTTCTGTAGTTCAACCTGAAATATGGCGCGGTGATATCTCCAGCATTCCTGTTTTTTGGTTTGTTTTACCCCCTCTGTTACCATATTAAGTTGAAGATTATTTTTCTTTCAATTTTTGTGAAAAATTGAATCTGTAGATTCCTTTAGGTAGGATGGCCATTTTCACAATATTACTCTTACTGACCCATGAACATGGGTGATCTTTCCATCTTCTAATATCTTCTTTAACTTCCCTTTTCAATGCCTTCAAGTTTCACCTAGCGTTCTTGGGCGGAAGTGTCCCTGTCCGTGCCCCACCCCCATGCCGCGTGCAAATTCTCTGATCTCTGAGCGAGCTACAGGAGAGCAGGGCTGCTGTGGACTGCAATGGAGCAACCTCAGTGCTTTGTAACCTGGAAGTATGATTGGAGACCCGGCTGTGAGTCCTGGCTCTGGGACAAACACTGGCCCACAGGAAGAGAAAAATAGCATAAAGATAAAAATGGGAAAGCTAATTTATTCAGTTTGAGCCAAAACTGAGAAGACCACCAGTCTCAATTTTTTGTTTCTGCTTTTTTTCCATTCCAGAGGCAAAACTATTCCAGAGGGATAGAACAAAAGCACGTGTACATTTGCCCCTGGACTCCAATCAGAGCTGGACATGGTGCCTTGGTGCAAGGGGCAGGGCTTTCCAATCCCAGAATACTATTTCCTGTAGGGTGCTGGAGCTCAAAAGATTAGATTTAAAATTAAATAAATAAACCCTAGACCCTAATTGTATCCTTAGGACATGTATATGGGCCAGTGCTGTCTTCTGACCTATGGACATGGTGTCTGTGATGGACAGAAATGATACTGCTTGCATATTGGGTCATGTTGTTTGAGCTGTGTTTGGAATTGAGTCTCAGGGAACCAATAAATTAGATTTCTTTGGGAAATGTCTGCTCACTTTCAAAGTTGTGACATTTCTAGAAGCCTAAGATACCTCAGTGACTGGAGAGTAAATCTACAGTTTTGTGGTGATCAGACGATCCTGAACATTATTGGTGTCAGTGCCATACTCTGGTGCAGTAGAGGCCACTCCTTGTCGACAGACATGAAGTGGTCTATGAATAGAGGCCCTGGTGCACACGCGTACAGGTTTTCCAAACCACACAAGAGATTGGGTCTGAGAATTTAAGTGAATTGTCAGAAAAGAATAGGCTGTGTGGCATGTCATGGATGGATACAGAACTAGTCTAGAAGCAGAATAAGAACCAGAAATGGTCATTGCCCCCCTGAGCTTCTAAGTCAGGACAGTGGGAACAGCGTGTCATGTGAGACTGATCCCTGCCTGCTCATCTACCCAGTGACCACAGGGTAATTCAGGACTGGAATCCAGCCTCAATAGTAAAGGTTATTGTATATGACTGAAATGGTGTGTGGAATTTAAATAAAAATGAAGTAGGCAGCTTGCTGGGTTTCATGTGTATTTGCCATGTGCCGAGCAGGTGCCTGGTCTTGAGCCTTATCCTTCGTCAGACCCCTGCCCTGTGCTAGGGAGCACCACCTGCATCAGTAATAACCAAGTTAGACTCTGATGACAAGAGTAGGACTCTCCTGAGCCTGCTCTGCCAAGTCTGCAAGGCAACCTTCACTTGGAGCCTGGAGAGTTCAATGCTGGATCAGTGGTCACTCGGCCATTGGCTTCCTGGAACTTCCCAGTGTCCCTGCAGATCCACGGACATGCCACATCCAGACTGCAGTACTCAGATGATGCCACAACTGCATCCGCCCAGCAGCTCT